GTCGCCACTTTCGTTGGCTCCCGGGAGGCCCAGCGGAGGTGGGTCCCACGCGAGTCACCTCGAGACCTCGCGGTGCCCTGGGGTCTGTGATCTGCGCAACTGTCTCCACGTTCGTGGGCTCCTGGGAGGCCTAGCGGAGGTGGTCCCACGCGGATCACCTCGAGACCTCGCGGTGCCCTGGGGGCTGCGATCTGCGCAACTGTCGCCACTTTCGTGGGCTCCTGGGAGGCCCAGCGGAGGTGGGTCCCACGCGGATCACTTCGGGACCTCGCCGCCTCCTGGGGGGCTTGCGATCTGCGCAAGTGTTGCCACTTTCGTGGGCCCTGGGAGGCCCAGCGGAGGTGGGTCCCACGAGGATCACCTCGGGACCTCGCCGCCCTCTGGGGGGCTTGCGATCTGCGCAAGCGTCGCCACTTTCGTGGGCTCCTGGGAGGCCCAGCGGAGGTGGGTCCCACGCGGATCACTTCGGGACCTCGCCGCCCCCTGGGGGGCTTGCGATCTGCGCAACTGTCACCACTTTCGTGGGCTCCTGGGAGGCCCAGCGGAGGTGGGTCCCACGCGGATCACTTCGGGACTTCGCCGCCCCCTGGGGGGCTTGCGATCTGTGCAACTGTCGCCACTTTCATGGGCTCCTGGGAGGCCCAGCGGAGGTGGGTCCCGTGCGGATCACCTCGGGACCTCGCCGTCCCTGGGGTGCTTGCGATCTGCGCAAGTGTCGCCGCTTTGGTGGGCTCCTGGGTGGGAGGCCCAGCGGAGGTGGGTCCCACGCGGATCACCTCGGGACCTCACCGCTCCCTGGGGGGCTTGCGATCTGCGCAACTGTCACCACTTTCGTGTGCTCCTGTGAGGCCCAGCGGAGGTACGTCCCACGTGGATCATTCGGAGGTACGTCATACGCGTTTCTTTCAACGCCCCTGTGCTTCCATTTTGTATAGCTGTCGTTCCTCTTCTTGCTGCGCTCTTCTGAAATCACTGTTGGGTGCTCTTCTTGCGCACTGCAGGTCCTTCAGAATGCCAGTCAGCATTGAATGGTCCTGAGTAGAATCGCCACATGTATAGAAAGGGTTGGGTACGTCACATGGTAATTTGCTCTTTCTGGGTCTCCCGGGTCGCTCTTCGTCGCGACCGCTGGGCTCCTTTCGAAACTGGAGTTTCTGGCGCGAAAACCTAGGGGGCACCTCGGGCCAGGACAGGACCACTCCTGGCAGCCTCCAAAGGCCGGGGGTCTCGCGGACCAGCCAAGCAGACCCTCCCTGGGCGAAGCAGCTGACCATAAATGCTGCACCGGTCCGCTGTTTCGTTTCGAGGTTCGATCATTAAGGTTTTTTTGGGGGGGGCCCTTTTTTCTCCTTTTCTGTGCCTCTTGGATGCTTCTCGCCACCACGGCTGGATTCCCCTCGACAATCTAAAAGAGCGCCCCATAGGGAGTGCCAGGGGCCGCTTCCTTTCAGGGGGAGGAGGAGGAGGAGCAGGAGGAGGAGGGCCAGCGTACTTCTTTCAGATGCATCTATACACATATACATATATATATATACGTATGCAAATATTCTTGCATACAAACATATATACATATACATATATAGGTATGCAATCGGACCGCATGACAAGAAACACTATGTTTCGTCAGGGTGCCCTGGTTTCTTTGGCTTGAGTTCAGCGTGGACGGTTGCAGCAATCTCGAAGAAACTGTAAATGGCATGGCGCCCTGGGCTTCTTGGGCGCCAGTGGGTTTCGGAGCGAGCGCCCGAACCTCCAAGAAACATGCTTCTCGCCTTGGGTTGCTTGCTGCCAAGTTCTCCACGCACGCGGTCAAGAAGCCGTTCGGGTCTGGGTGCGTGCCCCCGTGTTGCAGCCGAAGTGCAGGAGACCCAGCCCTGGACCAAGAAGCCTCGGCGGTTCTCAGGGTTGGGTTTCTCGTGGTGGGCTTCTTGTGGGCTCATATTCAGGGGCAACGATAGGTGGAGATAGGCACAGGGGGGGATGCGCCGACCCCCAATCGCCCATTGATCGCCGATAGGGGCCCGACAGCCCCAACCTTCCCAGGAAGGTACGGATTCACGGTCAGGAGCATATCGCCGATCTATCGACGATGCATCGCCGATTGCAGGTCGATGCATCCCCCCCTATGCCAGTCCCCCCCTATCGTTGCCCCTCAATACAAGTCGCAATGCGGCAAGAACCCACCCGTCGTCAATCCCCTCTCTGCATGGGTCCTTACCTGTATTCATGCTAGCTGCGGAGGCCGCCCCCTTGAAAGACCATGCGCCATGTGCCTGCCGTTCAAGCGCCCCATCCCCGTGTTGAAACAAGGAGCCCCTCTCGTTTTTATCCTTGAAGCGCAACTACTGATATGTATGTTAATCTGTTGGAACGTCAAGCTCAAGTACATGTCAATCGATATACTTCTGACGATTATCCGCTCTTCATCGACGTCGTTGTGTGTTTAGTTGGCCGCATGGTGCTCGAGGAAGTTTCCCGTGCGAGCCGGGTTTGAAAGAGAGCCGCCTTTAACCCGTGTTTTCAATGTGCAGGCAATCGAAAGGGATAACGATCAAGCGAGAGCACCGTTTCGAAAATGAGCAACCCTCTAAGCCGCGTAAGTGTTGCGATCTTTTAAGACGCACCGGCACCGCGCTAATGCGGGAGGAATATTTTGGGGATTGACCCGTTAAGCGGTTATTTCAGTGTTGTTTTTTTGAAGACGAATGTGCGCGGGCTCTAAAGCGAGAGCCGCATTTTGAAACTGCCTTGGCAGAGGTGGCCATGGCTCAGGGTGTCCTCAGGAGCTCCAGGGATGTCCAGACCGCTTCAGGGCACCTCTCGCGAGTGCCGGGAGGTCGAAGAGTCTCCGAATCGAAGGTAGTTCATGATTCTCACGCGTTTCGTTCTTTCTGGGCCTCCCGGGTCACTCCACCCGTGTAATCGTTGGACGTTTCTCAGGATAATTTAATTGGGGCTATGGCGAGAGCAATGTCTTGAGAGCCATTCGTCCTCCATCCATGTCCGCGTAGCTGCTGGAACTTTCAGAAGTCTCACGAGAGGAAGTCTCAGGCGAAATGCTTGGCCCGCCCTTCCGACGGGGCTGGTTGTGCGACGATGGGAGTTGCTTCTCAGGTGGAGTGATGGAGGAGCCGGACGAGGACGACGAGGACGAGGACGGGGAGGAGTGGGGGAGGAAGTGGTTCAAAAAGGGGAGGGGGAGGAGGAGCAGGAGGAGGGTGAGATGGACGAGGTCTGAGGAGAAGAATGAGAAGGAGGATTAGGACGAGTAGGAAGATGAGGAGTCGGAGGAGGGAAAGGCATGATGATGTTACTGCTGCTGCTGATGATGCTGCTGATGATGATCATGACGATGCTGATGATGATGTTGATGTTGCTGGGGATGATGACGATGATACTGGTACCGATTGTGTTGATGTTAATGATGCAAATTATGCTGCTGCTGATGACGATGATGATGATGTTGTTGTCAATGATCATGCTGATGATGATGCTGCTGATGATGATGGCGGTGGCTCTGCTGCTGCTGCTGCTGATGATGATTATGATGATGACGCGGGTAATGGTGATGATGCTGCTGATGATGATGCTGACGATGATGCTGATGATGCTGATGATGGTCCCCATGATGATGATGATGATGATGATGATGATGCTGATGATGATGATGATGATGATGATGATGATGATGTGATGATGTGATGATGATGATGATGATGATGATGGTGATGATGATGATGACGATGATCGTGATGAGGTGGATGATGATGAGATGACGCTGGTGTTGATTATGCTGATGCTGATGATGATAATGATGATTCTGCTGATGCTGATGATGACGACGCCGATGACGACGAATACGACGACCACGGCAACGACGACACAGATGACGACGTTGCTGCTGTAGATGATGATGATGATGATGAGGATGATGATGATGATGATGAGGATGATGATGATGATGATGATGATGATGATGCTGACGACGATGATGATGCTGATGATGATGATGCTGATGACGATTTCGATGCTGATGATGAATACGACGCTTATTACAACGGCGGCGATGATGAGGTTACTGATGATGCTGATGTTGATGATGATGCTGATGACGATAACGATGTCGATGGCGATCCTGACGATGCTGCTGCTGATGATGCTGATGGTGCTGATGATGACGATGCGGAGGGTGAAGCGTGTGATGGTGATGGTGATGATGATGCTGATGCTGATGCCGACGACGACGATCATGATGATGACGATGCTGTCGGATGATAATGGCGATGATGACGATGCTGATGATGATGCTGATGCTGATGCTGATGCTGTTGATGATGATGATGATGCTGATGGTGGTGGTGGCGGTGGTGATTATGCTGATGATGATGGTATTGATGATGCTGATGCTGATGTTTATGATGCTGATGATTCTGGTAATGATGGGGGTCATGATGGTGTTTGTCGTGGTGGTGATGATAACGAGGATGTCAGTTCTGGTGGTGTTGGTGTTGGTGATGCTGATGATGACGATGCAGATGATGATGATTATGCTGCTGCTGATGATGCAGATGACGTTGATGATGATGACTATGATGATGATGATGATGATTATGATGATGATGATGACGATGATGATGATGATGATGATGATGTTGACAATGCTGTTGATGATGATGATGATGATGATGATGATGATGATGATGATGATGATGATGATGATGATGATGATGATCGTAATGCCGATGTTGATTATTTTGATGATGATGATGATGACGATGATGCTGATGATGGTGGTGGTCGTGATAATGATGGTGCATGTGGGGCTGACAGACTGACTTATTGACTGACAGACTGACGATGACAATGACGATGCCGATGACGATGATGGTGACGATGATGATGCCGCGGCTGTTGATGATGACGTTGGCACTGATGGTAATGGGACGGGGGAGGAGGACAGGTCACGAGGAAGAGGAGGAGGAAGAGGAGGAGGTGGACGACGAGGACGAGGCGGTTCATTGCCACTTTTGATTTCTATGTGTTGCTTCGGAGGATAGAGCGGTTGCTTTGTCGGCCGTCCAGATTCCCAGACATCCGACGTCGTGGAGAGTACAGCTCTGTGACCGAAACGCGTCATGCGACTGGAGCTCATGACCTCATCTTTGTTCGTGTGGGATCACCTGGGGATGAACCATCCGTGAGGGTCCTGGATTTTGAAACGAGGAGAAACGCTTGCCATGATCTTCTCACGACGCCACGGTGTCGGCACCTCTGGCGGCTGAATGGCCGCGGTTCGAGGCCTGCTCTGGCTTCATGATGCCCGGCCCGGCCGCCGAGTGAAGCTCGGCGACGATGCGCGCTGCGTCCAGGGAGATGGGTTCAATGATCGCCCTCTGGAGCGATACTGAGGGTAGTGTGATGTATCACTGTTTCACAGCTTCAATGTTGTTCAATGATCGCCCTCTGGAGTGATACTGAGGGTAGTGTAATGTATCACTGTTTCACAGCTTCAATGTACGATACCGTTCTAGGCCTTCCCGTGCGCGTTGCGCACCACGGAGCCGTCCCGCAGACTCCACGGGCTCAATCCGTGCCCGTGGAGGTTTCCTGGGTGATGTGCGCTTATTCTTTTCGGGTCTCCCCGATCTCCCTCCCCCCTATAACCGATCCCCATCCTCAATGGGCCATGCGTCGAAGGAGAATAACTGCTTACACATATCCTTTCGAAGCTATGCGCGGGGCTTCGAAAGTGTGTATTTACCTCATTGTTTGTTACTCTCATGGTATCCCAGCCCCACCAGCCCACCCCCCTCCAGGTGGGACTAGTCCCTGCGAAGCCCTAGGAAGTAGCATGCATGTATCACCAATTCGGGGGGCATATCGGTCAATGGGGCCAAGGCCGTGCCAGTGGGGATGGGGGTCGGTGCAACGATGCTCACCTATGCCTTGGTCCCTGTTCCTCCCGCGCACTACCTGAATGGCTTGGTGGTGGTGGCGACCCTGCACTTGCACACGAGTCCTTCTCCTCCTCCTGCTCCTCCTCCTCCTCTTTGATTTCCTTACCTCATAATAAACACTTCCTCCCTGTCGCACCCCCAGGCGTGTCGGTATGGCGGGCCTTGCGTTTCGCCTGAGACTTCTTCACCATTCATCACCTCGAAGCCGGAATTTTGCAACAGTTTCAAGGATGGAGGTCGGGCGGTCTTCAAGATGTTGCTCTCTCCTTAGCGCCCCGCACATTATTCTCAAACGCTTGCAGCAATTTCAAGGGTGCAGGTCGTGCCGTTTTCAAAATGTGCCTCTCGCCTTAGCGCCGCGCACAGTCGTCTGAAGAGCTTGCAGCACTTTCAAGCGTAGAGGGCGGGTTGTTTTCAACATGTGACTCTCGCTTTATCGCGTCGCACACTCCTTCGCAGAAGTTCGAGTATAGATGACGGTTGGCTGTCACATTAGCGCGTCGCACATTCGTCTCAAAGCTTGCAACATTTTTACAGACGGAGGGCTGGCCTTTTCCAACATGTGGCTCCCGCCTTAGCGCCGCGCACGTTAGTTTCAAAAGCTTGGAGCCGTTTCAAGCATGGAGGGCGGCCCCTTTTCAAAATGTGGTTCTCGCCGTAGCGCCGCGTACATTCGTCTTCTACGTTCGCAAACATTTCAAGGGTGGAGGGCGGTCCGTTTTCGAAATGTGGCTCTCGCCTCAGCGCCGCGCATTTTCGTTTCAAAACTCGCAACAGTTTGAAAGATGGAGGGCGGGTCGCTTACCAATTGTGGCTCTCGCCTTAGCGCCGCGCGCAATCGTCGTGAACACTCGCAACAGCTGCAAAGACGGAGGGCAGACCGTTTTTTTTGAGGGGGGCTCTCGCCTCAGTGCAGCGCACAACCGTCTTGAAAGTTTGCAGCAGCTTCAAGGATGGAGGGTGGCTTCCTTTTATCATATGGCCGCGGCTCTCGCCTCAGCGCCGTGCACAATTTTTGTACAAGTTTACGATGATTTGAAGGGTTCGTAGGGTTGAAGTCGGAGGAATGGGATTCTGGATCGATCTAGGATTGTCAGGACGCAACAGTCAGAGTGATTTGCAGTGTTGAAGTCCCAGGAAAGGTGCTTTGGTGCGACTTAGGATTGTCAGGGCGCATCAGTCACGTTGACTCGCGGCGTTGAAGTTCCAAGACTGGCGTTCTGGCACGACTAAAGGGTTCCCAGACGGTTGTCTTTCACCGCGGCACTTCCGGCCATTAAGAAGCTCGTGTAGGTTCCCATGAATAGGGATCTTGCAGGGGGGGGGGGGTGTTGCAACATCGTCGATGCGTCTTTGGTTCTCAGTTCTTCTCCTCCTCCTCCTCCTCCTCTCTCCCGACCGAGCGTGGTGAGGGCGCGCATGCCTGTTCAAACGTGGTCGCATGTGGCCTGGCTGCCAGATCGTTCCAGAATGCGTCAACGACCACCTGACAGGCCCGACCTCCTCCAGCTCGCCGTTCCCGTGGGCTCCATCCGAACCCGCCTGGGTCGCCTGGTGGGTCCAGTCCAGCTGGCTTGGTATACAACGCAGTTCCCCGCTTCCTCCTCGTCCTCCCCCTCCTCGTGTACTTTTCCATGCCTCCTCTCGTTGGGATGAAACTCCTTGGAGGTTCTTCGGCGCTGGTGTATCTGTGATCGAAATGCAGCCTCTAATCTGGCATAGTCCCGCTTAATTTCGTCTACTCCCGATCTATCCGGCTTAATGCGGCTCAATTCCCAGCTTAAGTTGGTTGATTGGCCCATCAATCGAGCAGCCTCTCATCGTTCTGACAAAGACCTCCTAGGAGTTATTTTCTAGCTGTCTTTCTCTCCATGGCCGCCGCCCGACAGCCCTCTCTGCTCTCCAGGCGACGGCCCTTCCTCCCGTTGTCCGACCTTCCCTTTGGCAGTGACGGTCCTTTTCCTCCGCCTCCTAACCAGAAGGGACGGCCGGGCTAGCTTGCTGGGTGTGGTCCTCGTTTGTTTTTCCTGCTCTGGCTTCGTTCGGGGTGTGGCTCGGGCGCGACGCTCACGGTGCCCAATTTTGGATAGGTGGCCGAATGTCGGCGGCGCGTCAGTGGCGCCACAATGTGTGCTTACTAACGGCTACTTTGGAAGCCAGCCTAGAGCATCCCCTGCAGGACCTCTTGCGGGCACTGCCACCATAAGATATGTCACCAGTCGAACACGAGCCCCAGCCCCCGCCCTCGACAATTCAGACGTACCTTGCCCCATAGATTTTCAGGCCGTCTCTAGATTCGGAGGCGGTGCACCTTGTGTTTTTATTCGCCCGTTTCTTGATGTGTTTTCGCAAGTCACTGGTGGTGTTGCAAGTGGGCGTCATTGCAGTTCGACCACGTTGGGCGTCGGATAGAATGGTCGCCGCTGCGCGCATTCCTCTTCCAAGGGCACGCGGCGGAGGGTCGACGAAGGATTAATCTGAATGGCAGGTAGACCGGGAGAAAAACAAGCGACAGTTCCAACACACAATGTATTGTATTACAGATTCGCAATTCGGAGACGAATATGTCTGACATGGCCGCTTTTGTACAGAAATTGACTCGTGGTTGTTGAATATAATACGGTTGTGCTTTGTAGTACGCATCTCTCGGTTTAACGAATCTATGTTTTTTTTTCAGAAGAATACAGGAATGGAACATACGAACAGTTGGTCTTCAACTCGACGACGGCGTTCGATCCGGGGACCTCGTCGCCGCGGCAGGGTGCACGGCCACAATGGCAGTGGGCTCAACCGGGGAGGGGCCAAAGACGTAATCGGCGACTGACCTGCGAGGAGATAACTGAAAGCTCCACGGGCGTGCGCAGCCAGGAGCGAATTCGCGGTCTGCGCGGGGCCACTGCAGGAGTGTTCCACGCGAGGGTGCGGATCGAGATTTATTTTCCCAATTGAGTTCCAAATTGCTTCAAAGGGGGATGGACTTTAAGGGTAGCTCTTTGGGAAATGTTACAGTATCGGGAGCATAGCTCGCGCGCCGCTGCCTTGGGCTCAAGGCATGCGCGCCCTATTTGCCCGGACACTGCTTGTGTTCGCTATGTGCTGGAAAGATCATTACATCGATCTTATCCTATCTTACCCATCCACCCCTCATACTGTACCCTCACAGCAGAGCGATGGATGCTATTTGCCAGGCTATATGCCCTATTTGAGTTACCAGGCTCACTTTCGACTTGGTAGCGGGGCTGGCCGCACTCTCGTGTGGTCAGCTCTTGCTCTTCTTAGCCTCACATTCTTCGGCACGATCTTCGTGACCACCTACTACCCTGCGCCACCACTCCCAGTACATTTACGAGGATCTATTCAAGAGCAAGAAGCGACACGATAGGTACGACGTCTAGACGACCAGATTGGTACCATATACGCTTCATCATTGCGTTACTATCAACCGTTCGGCAACGAGCCAATAACGCAATACCTGAAGCAAGGGCGGGGAAACCCGCCAGACAGAGCGCCTCGAAGACTCGACAAGGCGCTACCCCAGCGCGACACCGCTCATCATAACCGTCCTTCGTTACACATTCTCGGGCTAATCGTTTTCGCTATCATATGGTTCGCGCTGGGGGCAGCAATCGCACACATGCGTCGGGGAGATAACAGCACCGATGGGCAAACACATGGCCCATATTGGGACCCTCAGGGTAATGTACCTTTTCGTGAGTACATTTACGAGGTCAACGCGTGGCTCAACGTTACAAGCGGACGTATGACGCCACAGGCCCAAGCGGCCGCAATACAACGCGGCCTGGGAGGCCTAGCGAGGACACTCGCCATGAGGGTACCGCCTGACATTATAAACTATGGTGCTGACATTGATGGGGTCCACACAGACCCAGTAACTTACATCATGTTCCTCCTCAGCATGAAGTTCGAACGCCTGGAAGATGAGCGACAGCTCACTTCCGGCACACAACTCATCGACTTCCATGTGCCTCACGGGGAACGAATCGATGTCACTTTTACCCGATTCGAAATGGCCCGACTTGAGGCACAGTCGGTGGGATTCGACCTTCCCAACTTCCAGCTGCTAACCACTATCCTATTCCGCGCCTTAGGCGTCGGCAACCAGAAAGCCATGCAACTCTTACAGCCACTCAACCACCAAATGCCTCGAACACAACAACAATATGATGAGTTGCTGGAAAGGATGCGTTCGGTAGGCCACCTATCCGAACGATCTCCTGGCAACATAGGATCCGTGTTTGGAAGAGGAAGGGGATCTGGTAGTGGAAATTTCTACACTACCTTGACTACTGAAGCCCAGCCTGGAAACGGGCCCTCAAACATATGGGCCGATGACCCAGGAGAATCCACTGCTTTATTAGCAGGGGATCGATCACAACCAAGCTGGGCAACCAGCCCTCCTTCTAGAGAACCACAACCCCACCGCTCGTTATGGGGGGAATCAAATCCCCTAACCGACGGTGTATCCACCTATTTAGGAGACGAAGATTTCGACTCCGGCACCGATACAGACACTATATCATCAGATGGTGTTGAAGCTCTAGATTGGTCAGATATCATGAATATGGATAACGACAATCAGCGTGCTGAGCACTTATTCTGGCTGTTACAACAGGCTAAACGAAGGTGGAGGAGGTTCACACGAAAACCAGTGCGTCGTGTTAGAAGGAGGACGCGCAGAAGTTTTAAAGGAAAGGGTAAAGGCAAGCGTGGTCGTCGGAGGTTGAACGGGCGAGGTATCGCGGCATTTCTCCAGAGGCTCTCAGATGAACAACATGATGAGATATTCTTTGGGGGAAAAGGCCGCGGTAAAGGCCGTAGAGAGACCTCAGGTAAAGGTAAAGGTAGGCGGGGAAACCCGCGAGGTAGAGACGGCCAGGTTCTCAAATGCCATGAATGTGGTAGTACCGATCATCTTGTGCGAGATTGTCCAGCGAAGGGAAATGGAAAGGGCATGTCGTCCGAAGTCCATTTCGGCTCAAGCACACCATCCATTGAGTATCTGAGCCTCCAGGGCTTTGAGGCTATGGAACAGATATTTTTCACATGGGTCGTTGGCATGGACAACATTGACGAGCTCGAGGGGTATGGTCATGGATTATACGCGTATTACCTCGAGTACGTCCGCCGGTTCGTCACGGGCAGTAATGACCTCACCCCCGTGGAACACGGTACGCTCGGAAACGAGCCTCTTTCCTTCTTCGACTGGATGTTCGGGAACCCAGGCAACATCATGGCCTGCGAGAGCGACGACGAGGACACCACTATAGAGGCTTCGCCTTCCGAGGTTCAACGGAACCTCGAACCTCCGCCCGAAATCCCGCCTGGACACAGGCCTTTTCTGCTGGGAGAATATCCCCATACTATTGAAGACATAATTGAAATGGAGTCTCAAGCATTTGTTCAGGCCTTCATTGCAGGCGAACCAGGTTCTCCGTTCATACCTCCTGGTTCGCTTGCTCCAGGCGAATATGGACCGCGTGCACTTTTGCAGACCCTCATGTGGATGCATGAGATACTTGCAATTGCATATCCTGAGAGTCAAGAACAAATCGAAGCTGGTATTATGACAGAACAGGATAATGATGCTTGCGGTAGCTCAGAGCTACTCTTGGCAGCTTTGACTCATTGACCGTATAAATCCTCAGGAAGTGCAGAGACACTTGATATACTCCCATGGTAGATGGCGTCGTGCCCTGGAAATGGCAATGGCTATGCGTGGTCATGATCTTCCCCCGCCAGGATGGAATCTCCAGGAGCTGGGGATGAGGCCAAACCATACGGCCATGCGTAACATTGCTAGGCAGCCTATGCTCGTCGATGACCCTGAGCCGACGACTGTGCCTCCTACTCCAGGACAGCCGAGCGACGCCCAGACGCCGGCCATGCAGGGAAACCTGCCTTTACCAAATGCGCCAATGGCCATCATAATTGGTAGTTCGACATCAGAAGAAGTAGGAGGCGATGGTTGTGGGTTAGATGAGGATGATGTCACCATCCTCATGATGGACGTTACTGGTGAGGAAGAGGTCGATTTCGACCCTGATGAGTCTGAATCATCATCACCATCGGCACAAGCGCCACTTGAGCCGAGCTCCACCCAGCAGGGAGACCTGCCTCCATCGAGCGATCCATCTGGGATCGCAGAGGGGCCTCCTCAAGCACCTCCAACGGGTGCCGCTCCTGCTGCATCGGCAGCTTCTTCTGATGAGAACCCTACGCGCGTTCCCATACGCGCGTCAGAGAAGAGCCACATCCCCAGGCTCGACTTCCTCGTGAGTGGAGACAGGCTGGCCCAAAGGAACACGCTCTCAGAAGAGGTGGCCAGCTACTTCCGTACAGCGACCCACGACGCCGAAAAGGGGAACACTCGGCCTTCGGCCAGGGCAATCCTGCCTATAGGGGCGGCGATGGCAGGCCCATCCGTGGAGGCTATCAGCTTGCAACAAACATCCGCCGCCCTGAAATTCAAGAAGCGCGGGCCCAGTTGCGAGATATTATCGCGGCTCGCAAGCAGTATAGGCCTCACGCTGCATGCGGTCCTTGTTCCCAGCCGTTCCAGAATCACAGGCCAGGACGCCCCGTTGGAAACAACGAAGGCCTGAGCCCCAACAGGGGCAAAA